TTTTTTTATTATGTCTGTTAATTTTACTGGAAAATTGAATTTATTTTTCAATTTTTTTTTGTGCTTTTTTTGTTTTCTGCACTTACAGGGTGATCTGAATGACCACGAGAGCTTGGTGAAGGCGATAAAGCTAGTCGACGTTGTTATATCCGCCGTGGGCACCCTGCAAGTGGCTGATCAGGACAAGATTGTTGCTGCTATTAAGGAAGCTGGGAATGTCAAGGTTTGTCCCTGTTTTCATTGACAAATTTGATTTTTTTTTTTTAAGATAAGTTTGATCCTTTACCTATTTTAATTCAAGAGACTAAAAGGGGTGACAAAATTTGAACCTTGATTATATTTTTTTGTTTTGTATGTCCCTTTGTTTAATCTTGCAGAGGTTTTTCCCGTCAGAATTCGGGCCTGATATGGATCGGTCTCGAGCTGTGGAGCCTGCGAAGTCGATGATTTTCGACATGAAGGCCCGTCTCCGCAGGACTATTGAGGCCGAAGGCATTCCATATACATATGTGGTGTCTCACTACTTCGCCGGCTACTCACTGCCGACATTCATTCAGCCTGGCGCAACAGCTCCTCCTAGAGACAAAGTGGTCATCTTAGGAGATGGCAATGCCAAAGGTAATAAACAAGTTAATCAAACGGATTCGGATTTGCTTTGATGGATTTAAGAATCGTTAGGCAAGCCAATGAACTATGGGGGGAAATGATTGTGATTCAAGTTTGTATATAGTGTTTTTCTAGTGTCCAAATTACAAAATTGTTGGGACTCTTTGAAATTTGAAAGTATAAATGTGACTTTTCTAAACTAATTGAAATCATTTGGAAAAGGAAGAGGTGAATTCTTAGTTATTGTTTATTTTTTTTGACTTTGTGATGTGATTGTAGTTGTGTTCAATTAATCATTTGGAAAAGAATGAAGTGAATTCGTATTTATTGTTTCTTTTTTGACTTCATCATGTTCGATTAATCATTTCGAAAAGAATGAGGTGAATACTTATTTACTATTTTTCCTGTTTGACTTTGTTGTGTGATTGTAGTTGTGTTCAATTACGAGGAAGACATTGGGACGTACACGATCAAGGCTGTGGATGATCCAAGGACTCTGAACAAGATCCTCTACATTAAGCCTCCCAAGAACATATACTCGTTCAACGAGCTCGTGGCTTTGTGGGAGAAGAAAATTGGCAAGACTCTAGAGAAAGAGTATGTTCCAGAGGAACAAGTGCTTAAGCAGATCCAGGGTAAGTTAATCCTTTACCATCTAATGAGCTATAGTCATTTGAATTTGAATGTTGTTAGATTGTTGATTGATCGTTGGTTTGGTTCAATTTAATTTATTCCAATGTTATGTTTTGCAGAATCACCGGCTCCGCTTAATGTAATATTGGCCATTAACCACTCGATTTTCGTAAAGGGAGATCATACTTACTTTGAAATCGAGCCGTCATTTGGAGTTGAGGCTACGGAAATTTATTCAGATGTCAAGTACAAAACTGTGGAGGAGTACCTTGATCAGTTTGTGTGATGAATGTTTATGTGTGTAAGTATGAACATTAATTATCTTTGGTGTGGTGTGTTTTATTTACTTACTTACTGGTTTTATGGTTTCTTATGTGGCCTTGTTCTTGTCTATGTTGTTTCTACTTAGCATGACGAGCTCGGGTTTATTAATGGAAGCAACGCCATCAATTAAATATGAGATTACTTTAGAATGATTGCTTGTAGTTTGTATCTTTTTGCTGTCTGTTGGTACATTTTTTCCATGAATTTCATCTGATAAGCACATTTCATCTGATATGCACGCAATCCCATTGGTGTGATGTATCTTTAGAGAGTGTGATTCAACGATAAAAATTAAGAAACCGGTGAAGCTCTACGACCGACTTTAATCGGGTTTCAAAGTTTCAGAAATGTATCATGTTCAGTTCCATGATGTAATTTATGTTTGTCATAAACTCCTTATCACACTCATCATACACTTTTGATCAATAATTATTATGAAACAAAGCTTACCAACCAACTATATTCATTCAATGAGTTTTGAACGACTGCTCTGCCTTAGTTGAATTGTATTATTATGATTGTGACATTTATGTGTCTATAACTAGGTATCGTAGTATGATGAAGTACATTCTACAGTTGTATTTTAAGGTCTTTAACTCGTAAATTCGATTTTGCAATATGATGGAAGTATGCTCTACAGTTGTATCTTAAGGCCGATCGTAAACTATGTTTTTACATGTGTTGTTTTTTGTTTGAAAGAATTGGTGGAAACGAGTGCGGTTCTATGCACGTGAAGTGCACTATAGCAGGGTGAGCTTTAATGAAGTATAGTGAGTTTTCATTTCAAAATCAATTGGTGGTATGAATAGAAATGTCAAACGGGCTAGCCCTGACGGTTTTAGGCTAGACCTAGCGGGCTTTGGGTTAAACGGTCCAGGTCTAAAAAACCCGAATTTAAATCGGTTACCAATAAAGAGACTTAATCTTAACTCTAGCGGGCCAACAACAACAACAATATCAAAAAAACATATAGACAAAAATTACAATGACTAGTTAATGATTGTTTTCAATGTCTATTTAGTATTATCTCTCTCTCTCTCTCTCTCTCTCTCTCTCTCTCTATATATATATATAGAGAGAACACACATTACAAATTCTTAAACGACATATTTTTTTTCTCAAAAGACAAAAATGTACGGACTATTACATATAATTACCATTTTACTCACATTCAACAACATTCATCAAACACATAGTCGTTGTATCATACTGATGAATTTATATTCTATCATTACGTTCTATGTGTTAGGTCTATGTATCATATGTTTTCAATTATCCGTTCTAATTGTTCTAATTGGCTTAAATATTTTAGTGTGAAGTAGAATAACAAAATTGTAATTATCTTTCAAAATTTTTATAACTCGTTGCAACTCATAGGTTACATATGAATTAGAATAGCAAAATTGTTATATACAAGGAATCTTGGGACATATTTCTTACATGCTGCAAACATTTACACCGTTCAATCTAAGTTAAACGGGCTAGCCCTAGCGGGCTTCGGGCTAAGCGATCCGGCCTAAAAAACCTTTATTCTAACGGGCTACCAAAAAAAGCCATCACCCTGTTTTTTTTGGACTAAACGTGCTGGCTCATTGGCAATGACCGTTTAACATTTCTAGGTAGGAATAGTAGCTTATTAGGCTTATACAACTCACAAGAAATATTATAATCTAATAATGTTTTTGCAGTCTAATGATGCTACCATCCCATAAATTTCATCTTGTAAGCACCAAGAAATTAGTTTGGCCATCTTAATTTATTCTCATTTTTCTCTGCCCCATAGTTTGAAATCGAAATTTATATTCCATTAATTTATATTCCTATTACACCAGCTTTACAGATGAATCAAATTCAAATTTAATTATGTAGAACAACGATAATCATTTTTCAGTTGAAAAGTAAAATTAAATAGAACCCGTTTGAGTTTTAAGTTAACCACACGATTTTAATCCAAATATCAAATTCAGACAGTTTATTTATGTATTTACTTCTCAAGAATGAAGCTAAAAATGTAATTCATTTTCATCATATGCTTTATTTTATACATTAGGAAAATGCAGCTTAGCTTAGCACAACCTATAATGCCATGGACCCTTTTAACTCATCGGAAAACATATCTCCACCGGAAAAAGCCACCTTCCATGACCGGTGCTGGTGCTGGTGCTGGTGCCGGTGATGGTGGTGCTGAAGCTTTTGCTGCGACAAGCACCCTTCTCGGGAATAATACAGTTTCCCGTTCTCGACTTTGACCTAAAATAAAGTGATGAAAAAAAAAACGGTAAATTTAGCATACGAGACGAAAAAAATTAACTACAACAAATATATATGTAAATAGGATTTCATACCATAGAACCTCATGTGAAGATCAGCAGAGGCTGACATCTGAACAAGAATTGGAGTAATAATCATAAGGATTCCCCAGAAGAATAAGACCACAAAATAAATTCTTACACTCATTGGTGAACAAAATATTTCATGGCCATTGAATTTATATTCATATCACAGATTAGCTGGCCATGTGTTAGTGTTACTAACCAATCATATTATGATGTTTCAAAGGTACAGGCAAGACACTTCTGTTTGTTCTAGGAAGAATACAATTATACTTATTGCACAACACAATCATAATTCATTTTAAGGAAAGAGAAAAACCATGTTTTTTGTTCCAAGCACACCAATATATTTGACAATATTATCACTAATTGGTGCATCTTTTTTTTATAATATTTGGTTGTAGTAAGTTGTTGTGTGCCAAATGTGTTTGAGTGAGCATGACTTGGAATCCTTCTGGCATCTCTTGGCCAAGTCAATGTCTAAATACACACACACACACACACACAACTCCTTTTGTATTATCATTTTCAAGATATGCACTTTACAATCTCTCTTTAGGTAGGTCAAGATTATGAGAACAAAACAAACTTCTTGCACAATTTCACTCAATCTCAAATTACTAATAAAATTGTCTATTAATGAACACATGAATCCTGGTCGATGATGAACGTAAAATATACTGGTCGGTCGCTGTTGGTGGAGTTTTCGAGTTGTCTGTATGCGGATATGTAGCTTCGATCGGATCTATTTTTAATGTTTATTTGATGTATATTTACCGTGTATGTTAAATATTTTTGCATATTTTTTAATGAAGAAATTGATTTGAGATGACAAATGAGCAATATTTTTTTTTTTTTTTGTTGATCATAAATTGTTTGTCAATATTTATATTAATATTTTTTGTTTCATTATTATATGTAGTTTTGTCGTGTGTTGTTCAATAGTTGGTAAAAATTATGTAAATAAAAACACAGCATATACTGAAAATATACTGACTGTTTGTTGTTCAAGAGCTGCATGCGAAAAAGCATTTGTGTCGGTAAAAGTTATGTAAATAAAAACTCAACATATACGTGATGTATATAACCTTAGCGTATGTCTTTATATTTTTTGGAACTTTTTTCAGAATAAAATTCAAACATCACAATTGGTTAGAGAAATATACTGAAAATATAATGATTATAAACACAATGTATGCTGAAAATATTCAGCGGCCTGTGAATTTCAACTGACGATCAACTGGCCGAAATTCAAATTTGAATTCTTTTTGCCTACCAAATTTTATCGTGAGTTTGTTATAACCTATTTAAAGGGAAAGACAGTATTATTTTTGGTAGCCGAAAATCATGACAAATGTAATCTCATAAGTTATGCAAATTAAGGGGATATGGCCTTTTTTTTTCAATATTAATTATTTTGCAAGAGTTAGGTATTAATGCAATATCTTTTATATAAGTAGTACAAATGTAATTAAAGACAACGAGTAGGAGAGATAAAAATTTTCCATTGAGGAATGGACATCAAAGAAATAAGAAAAAATGAATTTGCTAATGGTAGTAACATAAAATTTAAACGTCAATCAGTAATAATTAATAAAAATAAATATATACAGATATATGTTAAAAATTTGCAAAATACTGTAAAACTTATTAATACAAATAAATAAATTTTAGAGCAAATTAAGCTGCCAATTTATTAAATATTCTAATTTAATTTAATTTTTTGCCAAATGAAGAATATTTCATTAAAAGATATGCAATAATTTTGATGGACAATAAGAATTTCCAAAAAAAAAAAATAATCGATTTGCTATGGAAGAATTTATGTTGGACATTTATTTATCGGTTAATTCCTCTAAAATCCCCAATCCACATTTGAGTTTCCTTGTCAGTCCCCAATACATTTATTTTTCCTCTAAACTAGCTAATACATATTTCTCTTTCCTCTCAACTCCCCATATAAATACTAATACTATTATTATTCATTTATTTTTAATTGTAAAGCATTGAAAAAGGTATCTTCTTCCTCATCTATATAATCTCTCTACAGATCTGAAAAAAAAAAAAAAAAGAAGAGCTCCAAATAAATACATCCATGGAGAATCACGTACAAACAGGCTCTCCTTTACCTCGTTTTTTAATCCCTAATGCAATCCTAACCTACAAATTCAAGACATTAAATTCATTCCTCAAATCCCCATAACTAAAAGAATCCACTTCCAATTCTCCCCGACCTTAGTCTTCATAGTCACACCGTTAACGCCGGCCACAATCACGTAGATCGCCAGAAACATCCCTTGCTCCACAATCCCCGGCAGCCTCAGAATTTGGTCGCTAGCCTCCTTTAAATCCCCAATATCCCCGAAACCACCTCTCGAACGACTCGCGGACCCTGGTCATCTCCGCCAGGCCGGGCCACGCTGTGCTGGCTCTGCAGATGGGCGTGGAGGACGTCACCTTGGTAGACCTGGTGGACTCGGCGCCGCTGGTGAGCCGGGCAGATCCCCACAATCTATCCTTTTTTATTTATGGGATTTTTTATTTGGGTCTCGGGCTATACCTAGATCGGCCCTTTTTCCGAGCCGGCTCATGGGGCAAATGGATAGGATAGTGAGGGGTGGTGGGGTTT